ATAAGTGCTTAGAAGCATATTCATCTTGCATTTGAAATTTCAGGAGAAATAATTGCATCCTGTGATTTGAAACTGCATAATGTTCTTCTGTAATAAGCATTTTCTATTTTCTATAACTCAACAATGAACAATATGGTTTAATCCACTTAAATTCACACACACACACACACCCTATTTATTATCTATCTGTCTAGCTATCTAACTTTCTAACTATCTAGCTAGCCATCTAACTAGCTAACTAATTAGCATCTAGCCATCTATCCAACTACCATCTTGTGGAAACAGGAATGGTTTACCAGAATGACTTGTGATCTTGTGTCAGCTTCCCCGTTGACTTTTCTTGTGAGCTGTCAGGGAAGTTTGCAAATGGTGGTCATATAATTACAGGATGTTGCAACCATCAGAAACATGAGCAGCTTGCCAAATGCCTGACTCACCATCGCATGAACGTGGGGATGCTGTGAAGACCACAGCCTTGAGGACCACTCATAAGTCAACCTTGTTCAGCACCATCATAATTTTGAATGCTTGCTGAATTAATGGTCATAACCTAAAGGCTACACATCCCTCTCTCTTATCTATGTCTGTTTGATGCTGCTGCTTAAACATTCCCCATCACTTGTCTGATTGAAAAACCCTAAACTTCATTGCTCAGTACCCCAATGACTATTCCATCCTTTATGAATGGAATTGACAAATTAGGATGATTTGTCCTATTTTCGTTTAACCTTGTGTCAAAAATGTGTCCCCATCTCAAGTCCAGGCTTAGTTTGCAGTATGCTTTCAACCATCCAATGCTCTTACCAATTCCTCTCCTTAACATAAACACAGCAATATTAGACTGGAGGCTAGGGTTAGGCTGGTCAACAATTTTTGGACTAGTGCAGGAACTTATCGTGAAACATCCTTGACAGATGATTCTTCAACTATTGCTTAATACATTCTGCAAAGGAAAACTAGTAACTACTGTTATTATTTTGTGAATAAATGGGAGTTGGAAGCATAAAGAAGATTTAAGACTTTCTGTATGTGGCCTAGATTTCTGACCAGAGTGTGCCAGACTTAATTACTGAAACTCCTAAATTCAGTAAATTAAGTAAGAGATGGAAAAAATAATCTATCAAATCTGGCAAGGAATTGTGTCCCATCAAATGCTAGAAGATTCTAGAGCAATGTTTTTCAACCTTGGCAACTCTTAAGATGCATGGATCTCAACTCCCAGAGTTCCCCAGCCAGGAATTCTGGAAATTGAAATCCATGCATCTTAAAAGTGCCCACGATGAGATACTGATCAAGAGCAAAAAGTTCCTTATGTACCATATCTCTGCCTTAGCCTTGTAACTGTGAAATCATGGCTTAGAAGGTTGAGATCCATTGATTTGACTTTTCTGAGATTTCTTGGAATAAAGGATGTAAGAATGATCCAACCTGCACAACTCTGAGAATCAATTCATTCCATATCAATTTCTATTTATAATAAAGGGGCAAGTAAAAGCACTTCCTATAATGAATGAAAGGAATTAGTTATGAAAGCAATATGGAACAATGTTATTTCCCCATTTTCATGGAAGACCTGAAGTGAAATAAATACCATTTTACTGGGAAAAAAATGGTGCCATAATGATCAAATGAGAAAAGCTATATATTCTCCCCTTATTTATTCAACCTGTATGCAGAATTGAGAGGAGCTGGATTTGAAGAGAATGAGTGTCGTTCTAAAATTGGAGAAATAAGCACCAATAACCTGTGCTATACTGAGGATGCTATTTTGTTGCCGCAACTATCTTCTGAAATGAAGCTCTCCTTGAAATTCACGTGACTCTGATTCCGATAGCATTCTGAAGGATCTTGAAGACCTGTTTCTGCTCCCAAGCCTTGGACTAAAGTGGTTGGATCACCTTGTGAGTTCTGTTGGTCAGATTTGCCATCTTTTTTAAAAAAAATTATGCAGTCCTTGGTGCTTTCTGAGCTTGGTTGTTTGCTTGCAGACATTTCATTACCCATCTAGGTAACTTCACTGGTGCTAATGGCTGTGGAGTTGCTAGCATTGATGATGTTATCTTATTGGGTAATGAAATTTCTGCAAGCAAACAACCAAACTCAGAGAACACCAAGGATTCCATAGTTCATCCCTGATCTACATATATTCTCTTCTTTTGGTTTTTTTTTTTAAATCTGCTTTTACTTTTTTGCTGGTGATGTTTTTGAATTGTGTTGTATTTTATTGTTATTTTGTGAGCCACACAGTTATTTGGAGGCAGGCAGCATCTAAATTGCATGAATTAAATGTAAATTAATAGCTAGAAATGCAATCAATCTGCAAGCTCTAGTAATGAAAGGCAAGGATCACAGTGAAAAAAATAGGATTAATAATACAAAGACGATTAAATTAATGATGACATGTAAATAGCAACCTGGTTTAGAACTGACAATGAAGACATTGAAATGGTAGATGGTGTCTATTAACAGTATAGGAGCCAGGAGTAAAAAAAAAAAGATACACCACAAAATAGCCCTTGGTAAGATAGCAATGAATCTCTTAAAATATGTATGTGTATATACATACATACATACATATATACGTATGTATCAGGGGTGGGTTCTAAATTTTTTTACTACTGGTTCTGTGGGCGTGGCTTATTTTGTGAGCATGGCTTGTTGGGGGGGTAATGTGACTGGGTGGGCATGGCCAACTTTTTTTTTTTACTTTTAAAAGCATTTTTTCTACAACCTTAAGAGGTTGCAAAAAAAAAAATGCTTTTAGAAGCCTCTGACGATCCCAGCTGAGCCGCGTGATCATCAGACACTTTTTTTTAACTTTTAAAAGCATTTTTTCTGCTGAAGAGGTTGTAGAAAATGCTTTTAAAAGTTAAAAAAAAAGCCTCTGATGAGGTGGGCGGGGTAAGCGAGCGGTGACCAGGCCCAGGCCCAGTTCAGGGGCGTGGCCAGCCAATGTTATTACCGGTTCTCCGAACTACTACAAATTTTACTGGTGAACCGGTGCGAACCAGGAGCAACCCACCACTGGTATGTATGTATGTATATATTTTCAGACTTTGTGATCTGTCTGTATCAAGAAAGATCACAACTGTGCAGGCAATGGTTTTCCCTGTGACAGTAGAAGCTGTCTACTGTCTTTGAGGAAATAGGATATAAAGATGTTGATGTTTGTATACTTTTTGTGTTGGAGAAGACATCTGAAAATAGCCTAGGTAGCAAATAATAAATAATAAATAAATAATGAATGAAACAAAATGAAACAAAGCTAAACTAAACCAAACCCAACAAATCAATCCAAAGTTCTCACTTGGGGCACAAATGAACAGGCTCAAATTATATTTTGGATACATTATATGAAGGCCTAGGTCTCGGGATAAGCCTATATTTTATTTATTTATTTAATTTATTTATTTTGTCAAGTATATATAAGATAACAGGTAAAAGTATAAACATAATTTGAATACATGAAAAGAGTAAGTAAGAAGTAATATTATGAGAGGGATGGTAGGCATGCTGGTGCATATAACCCTAACCCTAACCCTTACAGACCTCTTAGGAATGGGGTGAGGTCAACAGTAGACAGTTTAAGGTTAAAGTTTTGTGGGTTTCGGGAAGAAACCACAGAGTCTGGTAGTGCATTCCAGGCATAGACCACTCTGTTACTGAAGTCGTATTTTCTGCAATCAAGTTTGGAGTGGTTTACTTTGAGTTTGTATCTATTATTTGCTCGTGTATTGTTGTGGTTGAGGCTGAAGTAGTCGTTGACAGGAAGAACATTGTGGCAGATAATTTTATGTACTATGCTTAGGTCAGACTGAAGTCGGTGTAGTTCTAAGTTGTCTAAGCCCAAAATTTGGAGTCTGGTGGCATAAGGTATTTCAAGGGAATTGACAGGATCAATGGTGCACCACTGGAAGACATGAAGGGCCAAATTTGGTACAAATCATCCTAGTGAAAGTCTAGCAATGTAATGGAATGTAAGAATGACCTTGGAAGATGGGGCAAAAGTTGATGCCTTGGAATGATCAGATATAAGAGTGAGGAGCCTACAACTGGGTAACAGGCAGAAAAAGAAACTTAGAAAGGATCCTCCTGAACTTATCAAGTGTTAAAAAGAGATGGTAAGAAATGTGTACTTTCAAACTTGCAAGATTCTGTTAATGTAGCCTTACAATAAAGTATAATTAATTCATCTTGTCATATTTCCTATCTACTTGCGAGGTTGACAATCAATGTGGTTGTTAAGAGCTGACATTGACTTGATGGCACAGACCCAATCAATCAATCAATCACTAATCCATCACTCAATCAATCAATTAGAGCCTAATGTTAGTTGCACATAAAATGCTGGTTATTACATGACATTGCCTTTTAAACTGATTATTTCACAGTTCCCCGTGTACTGAGCATCAAATTACAGCTAATTACTTTTTTCCTACTTAAGCCAGCCACCATTCCATGCCACTGAGCTGGTTTTTTTACATTTTTTTCTTCTTCCAGTATCTTTAACATTTTTATGAACCTGAATCTGCTAATCTTCAGCAAACGTATTAGCATTAATAGATACGACAGTAGTGATCAGTTTAAACGATGACAGTCTTGCGCTGGTAGGCATGGATTTTTGGAAAGGTATTATGGAAATGGGATGCTAAAAAATAGTGTTTTTTTTTTTTTTTTTTACTTTCAGGCTATATTATGATCTTCATGGATTCTATGCTCTATCACACAATAGACTATCTTCATTACATCTAAACTCTATTTCCAAAATATTTTTTTTCTTCCATTTTGCAATTTCATACAGATGATTTGAAGAGAACATGCAGGATTTCAGGGTGAGGGAAGTAAGGAATTTGCCCACTGGTAGAATCCAATCATCTGACAAATGGACCCTTTTAAATACTTTTCAATAATTGAAATATTTGATCTAACATAACAGAAGCAAACTACACGATGACTGCTGAGTATCTGAAGCATTCAACAAACACAAACACCACTTACCATGCCTTACCTGGAAATAAGCTTTATTGAACATAGTTGTAAAATTATCTTTTTTCAGTTGAATTACTGAATCATCAGCACAAACTTTTTTTCTACAGATTTTTTTTTAAAAAAACCAAGCCTCATCATTTTTACTGCATTTCTTTGTGCTTTTTTAATATTAATATTCTTCAAATGTTATACTTTTGTTTTCTTTTAATATCCGAATTATTTGCATATAAGTTTTTTTCCCCTTTTTTCATCCTAGGGTATTGAAAGAACATATAATAACCATAATAATTATAATAATAACTCTTGCTTAGACAAAATTCTCTCTTTTTTTTAATGAAGTTAAAAGCTGAGATAATTTACGGAAAAAAGATTTTCAAATTTTCATTACCAACTCATAGAAAGGGAAATTTACAGTGTATTGGAAAATTGGCTAAAGAGATAGGTATGGGATGGAGCCAGGTAGCTGAAAATATTTTTTACAGGTTTTATTTATTTATTTTTTTTTGTAAAAGTGATTTTTTTTTTAAATTTTGCTAAAATAATAAAATAATATTTCACAATTTGCACAGAGTCTGATGAAAGGGCAGAGGCCTTATCTTCTCCGTGATTGGAAATGAAACCAGATCAGCTGGCCTGCCTTTTGCCGTAAAGAGTCTCTCCTTTTTTTTTTTTAACTTTTCCTATATGCGCTGTGACCTTTCTTGATCAATCTCGTTTTGAGCAGAGGTCGGACTATGGAAAAACTGTGCGCACATGCACGCCGGTGTTTCTGCATTGAAATTCACCATTGCCAAGTATTGTTGCCTCCTTCTCCTCCTCCTTCTCCTTCTGGCACGAATGTACCCCCCTTTGAAACTTGAAAAATACAGACCGATCCATTTCCCAAGTTGCAACTGAAGCCACTTCCTCTGCATCAGATGACCCAAGAGCCATAACTCTGGCGACAGCTTTGTGATGAAAGAGCTGAAACTCAGAAGGACTTGATGCCGTTTGTTCAAGTCAATCCATCTCTAGAAGTAGCTTTCCTGTGTCTTTAAGTTCTTCCTCTGTTGGTAGCTTTGCTCTACTACTTTGCTTTAGAAAAAAAGAGGATGATTTTTCTTTTATGGAACTGCAAACCTCACTGGAGCTATACAAGCATCTGTCTGCTGGAACAATTTTTTTTTTTTGCATGTGCACATGTGTGTGTATGTTCCCCCTACCCCATTTTCTCAGGCTTGTTATCATTGAAGGCACTTGGTTTCCATGGCATTTTAGAAAAAAGATGGTAGTTTGGTTTTTTTGTCCCCGGATGAGGACAAACGATGTTCACTGGGAGTGGGATGTGGGAGGAGCAGGGCCAGGGCAAGTGGGCTGGGGTTCAGAAGACCACAGGGGAGAGTGTCAGGTATGCTTAAGTGGCCACGCAAGCAAACTCTAGACTAGCCAGCGTTGCTCTTGTCACCATAAATATGTCCTGAACTTAGCAGAACACATGCAAAGCAGAGACCACGTATAGTTTCTAGCAATTGCCATGAGGAACTTCAGCAGAATGTCTTCAACCACTCCGGTGCCTTGGGTTGCTTCCTGCCTGCCGCTGGATTGAACTCGACGCTTAAAAAAACCTAGTGTGGAAGGTGAAGGTGGGGGAAATGCCAGCTCCTCTCATACCCTGTTTGACAGTGAGGTGAAGGGATTTTTTTTCTCTCTCCTCCGTGCTCGCTCTTGCTCTCTTCTTTTATGAAATCTCTTTTGGGGCAGGCCGTTAAGGTTCCATGGCAACAAGCAAACTAGTCTTTGAAACAAAACAAGCCATGACTTTGTGCTTTGACAAGAAATTCTATAGCTCTTTTGACAAGAGTTCTCCCAATTAATGGTTGGGGTGTGTGGGGGTAGGTGTGTGTGTGTGTGTGTGTTGGTGTCATTTGATTCTCCTGTTGTTCGTTTGTTACTCCTTCAGCACAAGAGCACCTGAAGGCCTCTCTCCTTCACGTCCAGAATGGTACATTTATTTACCTGCAGTTGCTTGTTTGTTCATTCCTTTTGTTTTTTTATTAAACCCCCAAGGTGCGCATATATATATATATATATATATATATATATATATATATATATATGCATACTTTTTTAAAAAAATCTTTATTTGAGTCAGTCATCAGTCAGTGGAGGAATCTTTGGTAGTTTTTTGTTTGTTTGTTTGTTTTAAAAATGTTCCCTTTTCTTCATGCCAGTGGGTGGTACATCTGTGTTGTAGCCTCTGCCGGAATAAGGTCACCTCTGATGAATTAAGACAGACACAAGAAGAAAAACGGGGAAACTCCGTATATGGGGCAGTGTCCTGACTGCTTCTGAAGGTATATCTAAACAAAACAAGGAAAAGGAGGAAAGACAGCAGTTAGTCACCTTTCCAATTAGGCTGCCCAATTCATTCCAGAAACTGGTATGCATGGGGACATGGCGTGCTATCTTTTGGTGATTGTGAAACAGTGCAAAAGTTTTGCTTCACTCATGACAAGTCAGGAATTGCCCTGCTTCATGAACTAAAGGTGTGTCCTCAAAGCATTGCTTTGAGAGCCATGATGCCGCAGTAGTTAGAATGCAGTATTGCAGGCTAATTCTGCCAACTGCCAGCAGTTCGATCCTGACCAGCTCAAGGTTGACTCAGACTTCCATCCTTCCAAGGTCAGTAAAATGAGGACCCAGATCGTTGGGGGGCAATATGCTGACTCTGTAAATGGCTTAGAGAGGGCTGTAAAGCACTGTGAAGCAGTATATAAGTCTAAATGCTATTGCTATTGCTCAAAACTCTTTTGAAGCTTTGTACAGCCCAAGAATTCATTTCCTTCAGCTTGAAAGTAAAACCATACACTAGATTGGGAGAGGTTAACAAGCCCACGTACGGTTGTTTACATAATCCGATTTTGTGCATTCTCCTTCCACAATTGAGATATCATCGATAGCAATGTCTCCTTCAATGCCTCGGCCACGGATGCCTTCCAAAACAATCTGAAATGGAAAGAAAATAACACACATTAAAAAATCAAATCCATGAGTGACACGAGAGGAGCTTTTAATACGATGAAAATAGAATGTCTTGTTGAATATTCTTCTGTTCTCCGAACTAACAAAAATCAAAGATATTTCATAATCATCCGCACCTATAGAAAATTTAGGATATTTGTAACAGAGATGTATGAAACCTTTTGTTTAAAGTTGCAACACGTTTACACATCCTTGATTATCTGAAAACAGAAATTCATGATTTTTAGCCATCAAATCAATATGCTATTTTCACAAGAGCAAAATTAGCTAGATTACAAGTTAATTTACTTTGAAACACAAGAATGTTTCATTCCCCAATGAAAATGTTTTTAAACTTGCTATTGTCTTTACTTCCTACTTCAGAACATTGCTTAGTAGTTTGTTCTATGAAAGTGTTAATCAGATAGCTATTGTTTTTGTTCCCCAAAAGATTTTTAAGCAAATCCTATTCCAAGTTAATTGTTCAATTATCAACTTGACTCTCCATCCTGTATTCTACCAAAAAAATAAAAATAAAAAAAAATACTGCTTACAGAACATGCTAAATCCTATACCCAGGCTAACAAACACGGAGTACTATGATTGTTTGCTTCCTTTCTAGAGTTTTCTGAATTTTTTATTACTATTTTGTTTGCTACTGAATGTTGTCAGAGTTCACATGTGTCTCAGTGATGTATAAAAGTTTGATATATGTTTTATTCAAAGTTCTAGGGTGGAAAACATTCCATGCAAAATGTGGCTCACAATTTGAAATTATCAGATGGATCCAGACTTTTGATTCAAGGTCATGAAACTAAACAGTTAAAATGCATTCCCGAGAATATATTTCAATACGAGAGTATTGCCATACTTTCCCATTTATTGATGCTTTTTAATGGATTAAAAACACTAGAATGAAAAAAAATTAAAGACTTTATAGAGATGTCATAAAAGTAAACATTGTCAAATGCTTTTCTCGGGGGTTTTACACCATTTATACCTTACCAAACAGTGTCTTGTCTTGAGCAGGAGATCTTATACCCATGATGGTGAACCTATGGCATGCGTGCCGGAAGTGGCACACAGTGCAATCTCTCCAGGCACACAAGCCATTGCCCATTGCTCTTCCAGGTTCCGGCGTGCCAGCAGCTGGTCTTCACACACATGGGAGTGCCAGAAACTGGAAGAGCAGCTGTCTGGTGCACATGCATGCACTGGGAAGATGATCTTCCAGTTTCCGGTGCATACATGCGCCCTGGCCAGCTGGTCTTCACATGCCTATGCACACCAGAAACCGGAAGACCAGGTGGCCGGGGCGCATGCATGCACCAGAAACTGGAAGATCATCTTCCCGGCATGCGCATGTGCATCAGGTGGCTGCTCTTCAGATTTCTGACAAGTGCACGCATGTGCGCGTGGCCCCATTTCGGCACTCGGTGCCGAAAAGGTTTGCCAACACTGCCTTATACCATTCCAAGCAAATAGTTGTTCAATCTCTTCTTGAAAACCATCACTGATCCTTTAGGATTTCCATGCATGGAATCTTTCTTAAACTCTCTTTTAGTTGTTGAAGTCAGCTCTCTCAAAGTCTAAGACATTAGTTTGACTTTGTTCACTTACTTGTGCCTGCATTATGTGGTAACTCTCTCCCAAAGTTCCCATAACTTCAACCCCTTCTGTTATTTCATCTCTGTTAGCAAGAGATGTCTGGTAAGACTGAAGTCCAGTATAGCTGACTCTCTAGTTCCCTCCTCTACGTTTTGGATGACAAAGTGGTCAATGTCAGGGTTCCAAGTAACACCCCCAACCGAATAAGGCTCCAAGGCAGGCATTCCCTCAAAGTTCCATTTTATTAGAGGTGTCATATTGGCACATCTGGGAAAACCCGAATCTGAAAGCCCCTGGGTTTTCCACACCCAAAGGTAAGTCGAAGTCCCTTCCCCTGCACCAACATGCCCATCACATGGTCCAATCAATCCACCGTCCCAACTGGAGATATTTCCCAGTCACGCCTCTCCGGGTGCAGGCTGAACGTCCTTGATTCCCAGAGGAAAGAATGTTGTTGTGGCTACAGTATATACTTCTACCCACTCCATGCAACCCCTCCCATTTTCCCCACAGCAGGCCTTTGCACTAAAAGTGACAGCCCTGAAGATCCAAAGAGAAAGATGGCCTACAGGGCTGACAGTCACCTAGTCTCATCAGGTGTTCTCTGAACTTGGCTGTTTGCTTGAAGATGTTTAATGAAGACCATTAAAAATGTTACCTAGTCAGGTAACTAAAAGTCAGTAAGCAAATAACCAAGCTCAGAGGGCATGAAGGACTCCACAAATATCAATCTGCCCATTAGCAGTCATTTTGTCAGAACATCCACAGTATGCTCTCAGATGCCTCAAGTGCTGATTAGCTTCAGTGGTCCACTCCAGTTAAAATGCTGAAGGGAAGTGACTTGATCTGAAATGTTTGCAGGTCCCCTGCTGCCTTTCATGTCTATGACAATTTGCTGTGGCCAATTCGCCATGGTCAGCTCACCGCAGGACAACTCGCTGTGGGACAAGAGTTACACTAATATCAAAGAAATAGTGGAATAGAATCATTAAAGAAAGGATGCAAAAGGAGGGACAAAACGAAATGCCAATGACAAAAATTAAAATATTATTTTAATTTATTTTAAATAATTAAATTGAATTGTTAAGTGAGTTGTCCCATGGCAACTTGGCTGCGGTGGATTGGCTGTGATGAGAATTAAGAGCCGAGGTAGCACAGATTAAGAGCCGAGGTGGCGCAGTGGTTAGAGTGCAGTACTGCAGCTTCTTCAGCTGACTGCTAGTTCAGCAGATCAGCGGATCAAATCTCACCGGCTCAAGGTTGACTCAGCCTTCCATTCTTCTGAGGTGGGTAAAATGAGGACCCAGATTGTTGGGGGCAATATGCTATTTAGTATACTGTCTTTGGTGTAAGCCACCCAGAGTCCTCGAAGAGTGGACGGCATAGAAATATGACTAATAAATAAATAAATGAGTTGGCTGTGGTGAGGTGGTCCTGATGAGTTGTCCCATTCTGCTGTTTTCCTGCCTCCTAGTTCAATTGTTTAAGCAAGGCTAAGACATTTGCTGGAAAAGGTAGCAAGTTTAGATCAGCTGTGATGAGAATTATGTCATTTTTGCACATTCCTTTTCCTGATGTCCTATGGGACGCCAACATGGTCAGTTTAAGTGTTTAATTGTTGTATTCATTAAGTCTGACACACAAAAAATATATATTCTGTAACAACTTCAAAGGCCTTTTTGCAGAGATAACAGGAATTAAGCAATGCAGGAATGGTATTTCTACTGAACTATTAACTGAGATTTCCTCCCTCCAGTTTAAATTGACTAAACACTGAGGATAATTCCATAAAATGAAATGGGGAATAATTTGGTATTAACAAAGAATTAACATAGGACAGAGGAATCAATTGGACAATATTTAATCCCATTCACAGCTTCCCAAATACCATTATGTCACTAATTTGGAGCATAATTCCAGGCATAGCTGATGAGTCCAAAAGATTTTTGTTTTTGAGACATTTGGGAAATAAGGTAGAGTACACCAGATTCATCTTTTAAGCAAAATTAAGTAAGTAAGTTATGAAGGAAGGAAGGACTTGCCTCCAGAAATTGTGGGTGCTCCAATGCTGGAGGTTTTTAAGAAGAGATTGGACAACCGTTTGTCTGAAATGGTATAGGGTTTCCTGCTTGAGCAGGGGATTGGACTAGAAGACCTCCAAGGTCCCTTCCAACTCTGTTATTCTGTAAGTAAATGGATCACCATATCTCTACTGCAAAATACTGAATGACCACTAGATATCCACAAAAAGATACAGGAAAAAATGTTTGCTGGCATCTAGTGGACATCTGGATGTTTCATCTCCTTGATTAAAGGTAGCCTAGAATCCAGTGGTGGGTTGCTCCTGGTTTGCACCGGTTCACAAGAACTGGTAGTAAAAATTTGTAGTAGTTCAGAGAACCGGTAATAACATTGGCTGGCCATGCCCCTGAACTGGTCCCCGGCCCGGTCGCCGCTTGCTTACTCCGCCCACCTCATCAGAGGCTTTTTTTTTTTTTACTTTTAAAAGCACTTTTTTCTGCAACCTCTTCTGCCGAAGAGGTTGTAGGAAAAAAAATGCCTTTAAAAGCCTCTGGCGATCCCAGCTGAGTTGCTTGATCGTCAGAAGCTTTTAAAAGCATTTTTTTCTGAAAATGCTTTTAAAAGTAAAAAAAAAAAATGTTGGCCATGCTCACCCAGTCACATTACCCTCCCACCAAGCCACGCCCATAAAATAAGCCATGCCTACAGAACCGGTAGTAAAAAAAATTAGAACCCACCCCTGCTAGAATCTCAAATAGTTTTGCACCATAAATAGAAGGTTTGAAACAAGGGATCAGTACTACTGAAAATCCTAAGGGTGTAAAATGTCATATGAAAAATTGCATCATTATCTCCAGAAGCTGTCTGTCTGTCTGTCTGAATTTGTTAGTTTTCCACATTCATTATTATTTTTACAAATAAGGCAGTGAACATAACTCAATACTCCTACCTCCTCTTATTTTTTTCTCTTATTTTTTTTACAAGCATTTGGATCACTTTAAAGTTCCTTCTTTCAAAGTCTTCCAAAATTTCCATCCCAACTGATCTTGCAACTCTCTTCAGGCACATAAAGGACAGCACTATGCAATGTAAGTCCTTGTGACTGGCTGGAAGGTGGTAAATATCTTCTGCACTGGCCGCACCCAGTGCAGACCATCTTTCATGACATTAAGTTTGAGTCCTACCTTCTCTTACTATTCCTAAACAGAGAGATAAACAGAGGGATAGAATCAAGATCACGTGAAGTGTTAATACCACTTTATAATGCCATGGTAAGGCCACACTTGGAATACTCCATCCAGTTTTGGTCACCACAATGTAAAAAAGATGTGGAGACTCTAGAAAGAGTGCAGAGAAGAGCAACAAAGACGATTAGGGGACTGGAGGCTAAAACATATAAAGAACGATTGCAGGAACTGGGTATGTCTAGTCTGATGAAAAGAAGGACTAAAGGAGACATGATTACAGTGTTCCAATATCTCAGGAGCTGCCACAAAGAGCACAATACCATAGTCTTTTGAGACTGAAGGATGCCAGTGAGCCACAAAGAAGAGGGAGTCAGGATATTCTCCAAAGCACCTGAGGGCAGGACAAGAAGCAATGGGTGGAAACTAATCAAGGAGAGAAGCAACTTAGAACTAAGGAGAAATTTCCTGACAGTTAGAACAATTAATCAGTGGAACAACTTGCCTCCAGAAGTTATGAATGCTCGAACACTGGATGTTTTTAAGAAGATATTGGATAACCATTTGTTTGAAGTGGTGTAGGGTTTCTTGCCTAAGCAGGGGGTTGGACTAGAAGACCTCCAAGGTCCCTTCCAACTCTGTTAGTCTATGCTATTCCTCATCTTGTGTCTAAACTTGGCTGTAGCTATAGCTGGGTGCATAACCAATCTTTTACAATAGAGAGGTATTTCCAAAATATTTGATGTTCACTAGTGGGAAGCTGGGCATTCCAATGTAAATATACACATCAGATCTAAGTTGTAGGGTATGCCAACAATCAAATTATTTTTTTTTTATTAATTTGAAGCACTGCATTCCAGTTTTCAGCCCATCCAACCCCAAAAGTTCTTAAATATACAAACTTTTCCAACAGGCATGTAATTGAAAGGTAACATCACAAAAAGAAAAGGTATTGTGAGGAAAGATGAAAAATATACATTTGAGGATACATGATTCTTGATTATAAAGGTTCAGCAGATCATGGGGCTAGACAAAGAATAATGGTTCATTTTTTCTTCCCTCAGTGTCTCTAGCAATAGCAAGCTATAGCTTTAGAAAGGCTGGAGGTTACTGTCACTTCTCTTTTCTTTGCCACTTCACCTTTTTGGATCTTTGCATCTCAGGCCTTAAAATAAGTTAATTTCAAGTAATTTAACAGGAAGCTGCCTTATATAGCCTGCTACATTTAGATACTTATTTTTAATGTCTGTCAGAGGCTGGGTGGTGATTGAATTTGGAACGTTTTGCATGCAGATCATATGTTCTACCCATGAATAATGTCTCCAAGAATAGGGTTCAAAGCAGAGCTGGAAGCAGAACATACAAATTGGTCTTCAGTGACAAACTGGTTTGCCTGCCCCTGTTAATTAGGATTCATGATGAACCTAATAAAAGAAAGGATGAACCTTCTCCACACTATAATACAGCAAGTACTTTGTGTGCTTTAAGTTATACTACATTGGAGTTCCAGGAATTCATTAGTGCTGTTTGTATTCCCAAACTCTTCCCATACTTGAAGTTGAATCATACTCTTTTGAATCTGGGAAATATGTGAAAAGTGTCAGGTAGACACTTGGGGTTTTCCATAGCACATTTCTGAGGGCACCTCTATTTTCTGGCTTGTGGATCTGATGGAATTGGGCCCTGCTGAGAAGCATCTGCTTTCATTTTGAAGGTGTCATGAGCAAGTCTTAGTTTTCTAGGCATATTTCCTTATTTGCTTACCTCATCTAAGGCATCCAGAGTAACAAATGACTCTCTGTCAACCTTATCAACTCTAAGATGTAAGGACTTCAACTGCCAGAATTGCCCAGATAGGCATGCTGGCTAGGGAATTCTGGGAGTTAAAGTCTGAACATCGTAGAGTTGCTAAAGTTGACACACATTGCTCTAGAACAAGGGTGTCCAGCTCAAGGCCTGTGGGCCGGATCCAGCCTGTGGAGTGCTTAGATCTGGCCTGTGGGGCCAACCTGGAAACAGCAAAGGACTGGCCTGTGGTGCAGGGGTGGGTTCCACTTACTTTACTACCGGTTTGCAGCGGGAGCACATGCACAGATCACCCATGATAATATTCATGGCGGGTGGGCGAAGCCTCCCACCGGTTTTACTACTGGTTCTATAGAACTGGACCGAACCAGGAGCAATGCACCACTGCTGTGATGCCTCTGCCAGAGAAAATGGAGCTTGGGAGGGCTGTGCACGGTCTTCCTGAGCTCCGTTTTCACTGGCAGAGGGTTGCAGGAGGCCATTGCAGCCAAAACAGACCTTGTGAGGGCTATGTGCGGCCCTCCCGAGCTGTTTTCACTGGCAGAGGGTTGTAGGAGGCTGTTGCAGCCAAAAATGGAGCTTGGGAGCCCGTTTTCACTGGAAGAGTGCTCAGGCTGCCACAGGCGCCACCGACACGAGTGATGTCAAGCTGGCCATGCCCACACTGGCCACCCCCACCCCTTGGCCCTCCGAGGCCAAACACAACCCTGATGCGGCCTTCAATGAAATCGAGTTTGACACCCCTGACTGTCTCAGCCAGATTAATAGAAGAAAACATCAGCAGCTATAAAATGATTTTGGGGAAAAGTTTGGGTTTGTTCTAGGGAGTTTGAAAAGAATAGTGAGTCTATTTGTGGTTCACAGATTGCTCATCCTCGAGTTACAATCTGCAATTTCCTAATGAACGAGAATTATTCACAATTCTGGCTTACTGTGCAGTATGAATAGCAATCCATTTCTTGCAAGGAATGCTGGTGACTTTTCAGTGGTGACCAAAAAGGATACATCTAAGATTTGCAAAATGCCAAATTGCGTTTGATTAAAAGCCTTATCCCTGCCATTGAATTGCTCTCTTTTCATCAGCATGAAACTGATGGTCTCCCAGAAGCACTAAATAGTCACCATAGGGGCTACTATTGTTAAAATTTATCCTTGCCTTTGAATCAGGGATTGTTGTAAAGCATTCATATGCCTTCTTTAGATGAAAAACCCTTGCTGATGACATGAGGGTAAGGAAAACATAAAATAAATGTAGGATGTTTTTCAGTATATCAAAGACAATATAAAAACATTTTAATTTTTGTGCTGATCAAATTTGCTGCAGAGATTTACTCTGATTCACACTCTTTAAAATTAACTAGGAGGTTTATGTTCCTTCCCATTTAGTTGTAGAATGTAAAATGAAGATTGGTTGAAGCAGGGGGATAAGAGAACTGAATGTCCCAGCTGTGCTGACAGTGATTTTATTTTCAGTATTTTCAAACCCTAAATTTGTTTCATGTTTCTCAATAAGAGTGAAGTCAGAAAGAAAAAAACAGGAAGATACATTATAGGAGCAATACATGGTCAAACAGAGTGGCTGCATTCATCTAATATGCTTATTCAAGTAATCTAGCAGCTGCATTTGCACAACAATCTAAGCTTTGCTGGTTCTCTTTTCTTACCAATAGCAATAGCACTTAAATTTATATACCACTTCATGGTGCTCTACAACACTCTGAGTGGTTTACAAATGTCAGCATATTGCCCCCAACAATCTGATCCTCATTTTAGTGACCTCGGAAGGATGGAAGGCTGAGTCAACCTTGAGCCAGTCAAGATTGAACTGATGGGGGTTTCCAGTTGATGTTGCGGCAAGATTGGACATGAGGAGTAGGTCTTTTCTCCCTGTTGGTGGGCTCCAAAAGGAGCCAAAGCAACCCTGTAGGGGCAGTGAAGCAAAGAGGGGTGCCTTGTGAGGTCATGAAGAGTCACAGCTCTCCTGACTGACCTGGGGTTTTCTTTCTCTCTCAGCCATGGTGAGGAGAAGAGGCAGCCTAAAAATGGCTGCCACAAAGCTAGGATAACCGAGGAACAACTAAGACTGGTGCTGGAGCGAAGTAGGTGAACAGTGACTGGAACTGGGAGAAAGAATTCCATTTTACTTAAAAGCCAACCCCAAGGACTAATTAAGAACTATTTGCTAAGAATTATTTGTTAAAGCAGCTATTAAACACTCTGGGAAAAATACCAGACTGGAAGGAAAAGACATAAAGAGAGAAAAACAATAAATTTCTAAAAATACAGAAAATTGGACTCTTAAAGTGGGAAGATGTGGTAATGGGAAGGCATTTTAAAATGCTGGAATTATTTACTTAAAAAAATTATCCTGCTTCTATAATTGAATTACATTGAATTACGTTAAAATTAGGATTAAAAAAACCTGAAACTAGTCTGACTAGTGGCAACACTGAAATTTAAGTTGAGACCGCCACCTGCTAATGAAAGGAAAATATACAAGTCTGGGAATACTTATATGAAGGTTTGTGGGTTTTCAGTGGATCCGTATTACTGCTGAATTATTTCCAGGCTCTGATAAAAGTTAAGAACATGTTCTAATCAGAACGTGGTCTCCTTTTGCTGATTGTTGACCTGACACAGGTAGCATGGTAAAACCCAGGAAGGAGCAAGATGCTGTCATCTGCTGTAAAGAGTATGGCTTTGGAAACAAATATTAAGTACCCTAAAAATTTCTCTTGCACAAACCTGATCAGCTGCCCTCCAGGGAATAGTGAGGTTTTCAATTGACATTAATAATTGGAAAAATCTGTCTAATTTCCAATCACTGTTCAATCAAATGATGAGAGGGAAAAGGATTCACCATACATGTTTGGTAGAAATCATGGTGACACATGATGACATCATCCATGCCAATACCCAAATCATGCAGATTATGTTACTCATGTTGTGTGTGGTGTCATTTGCTCTTCTCCCTGTAAAACACTCACACATTCTTATTTCTTTTTCCTCCAGCCAGCTAATATCTCGCTAAGACTGCCTAGCTTTGTCTCAAATTATCTGAAATCCATACCAAGACTCCTCACTAACAACTGAGGGGGTAAACTACTTGAAAAGTATGCTGGAAAAAAAAACAAGCAACATCAAGGGAATGTGCATCAAAAAGTCTACATCAGAGAAATCTTAAATATCAAAGAACAATATCAGACAGATTTGCATTTTTTTTATTACTATGCATCTGAGCAGAAGACGGTAAAAAAGGACTGGTAGGTCATCAATACTTCTACTTTAAAAAGAAAACACTACGAACAAAGACTGAGAATGGATTTTTACCTATTTATACAACTCAGCTGGAGACAAACATGGCATATCTGTTCCAGGAAATATTTGGCAATCACTTGCATATGTTCCTGGCAAATGTAAGACCTTTTTAAATTCATGAGCAAAGAAAAAGTGCTTTGGTGAGCATTATAAAATCCAAAACTATGGTTAAGCGGCAATTTCATTTTATCAGAAAAAGTGCTTTGATCAAGAACTCAAATAAAGTGATTAACACATTACAAAGCTGTTGCTTGACTCTGGATTTTGGATGTAAATCAGTTTCTGTCATGAAGAAAACAGATAACAGAAAGGAAAAATATTTGCCAATACTGAATCTTTTTCATCGTGCAATTAGTTTTTGGGGTCTATTTATTATATATCAATCATCAAATGGTTCATGAAACTTACACATAATACCTCTTTTAACTATTTTTAGTTCAACTTTCTTATGACCATTTCACACTGTTGGTCCTCTCCCTCAAGTGTCAATGCTGCTTTAAAAAAAGCAAAATGTTCAATATAACAAGCAATAGTTTATTGTTAAGAGTATACTGAGTGACTTTTCTCTGACTACTTGCAATCTGTTCACCTACCATGCCTGTGCACATCATCCTGATCCACTTTGAACTGGAGAATTGATAGCTGAAGAGAGTATGATTCGATTTGAATTTGCAATTTGTGCTATTTCAAGATTCAGTTAAAGGAAATATTTGCCTACAGCAGGGGTATCGATTTCATTGAGGGCCGCATCAGGGTTGTGTTTGACCTTGGGGGCCAGGATGGGCATGGCCAGCTTGCAGTCACTCGGATCCCAAGCTCTGTTTTCAGCCATGACAGCCTCCTGCCACTCTCTGTCAGTGAAAACAGAGCTCGGGAGGGCTGCACGTTCTGTTTTCGCTGGCAGAAGGTTGCAGGAGGCTGTTGCAGCTAAGAAGGGAGCCCAGGAGTCCATTTTTGCTGGCAGAGGGTGGCAGGAGGCCATGGCAGCTGAAAACGAGCCTGGGAGGGCCACACATGGCTCTCCCGAGCTCTGTTTTTGCTGGCAGAGGCACCGTGGGCTGGTCCTTTGCTGTTTCTAGGGCAGCCCTATGGGCCAGATCTAAGCATCCTGTGGGCCGGATCTGACCCTCAGGACTTGGGTTGACACCCCTGGCCTACAGGCTATAATAGAGGAACAACAAATTGCCTGCAGCTGCTTATTTTTTATTTTTTAACCAAATGGACTGTATGTAGCAGAGATGATAGACCATTTAGCGGACATAAACCCCATCAAATTTCAGGTTCCAGACTAATCCTTATTCTAATTTTGAGACAATATTTAGTAGGCTGAACTGAATTTACAGATGGGTTTGCAGGACTAGCGCTGAAGTGTAGCATTGCTCATGGCTCAAAAGAGAACAAAGTTAAGCTACTGGCTGGCCTCACTGAAGAAACTGAGAACTGAGAAACTGAACGGAGTCTTGCAACCGGTTCTGGAATGCAAAAATCCAAATACTAGATGAACACAAAGAAGCTGAATGATCTATTTCAACTTCGTTGTTGAAATAGAAAATCTGTATCTATATTGTGTGTGTGTGCGTGCATGTGTGTGCGTTCATGCCTTCCTGGAAAATGCTTAGACCAAGGGTGTCAAACTCGATTTCATTGAGGGCTGCATAAGGGCTGTGTTTGACCTTGGGGGCTGGGTGGGCGTGGCCAGAGTGGGTGTGGCCAGCTCAACATCACTCATGTCTAGGACACCTGCGGCAGCCCGAGTGCTCTGCCAGTGAAAATGGGTTTCTGAGCTCCGTTTTTGGCTGCCATGGCCTTCTGCAACACTCTGCCAGTGAAAATGGGCTCCCAAGCTCCATTTTCAGCTGTGACAGCCTCTTGCAACACTCTGCCAGCGAAAACGGAGCATGCAGCCCTCCCAAATTCCATTTTCGCTGGAGAAGGCACCGTGGGCTGGTCCTTTGCTGTTTCCTGGGTGGCCCTATGGACCAGATCTAAGCACCCCATGGGCCGGATCCGGGCCTCAGGCCTTGAATTTAACACCCCTGGCTTAGACAAATCCCTGTAGTTTTCTTGGCAAGATTTCAGAACTGGTTTGTGTTGTCTTCTTCCTAGGCTGAGAGAGTGTGCCCGGCCCAAGGTCACCCATCTGGTTTTGTGCCTAACACAGGACTAGAACTAACATTCACCTGGTTTCTATAGCCTGTTGTTTTAATCAATACACCAATACTCTAAATGCTAAATATATACAGTATTTAATAGATAAGATAACTAATTATAGCATAAAGTTAATACCAGTGGTGAAATGTAAAATTTGTTATTACTGGTTCTGTGGGCGTGGCTTGGTGGTGGTGATGGGTAATATGATTGAGTGGGCGTGGCCAACTTTTTTTTTTTAACTTTTAAAACCATTTTTTCTACAATCTCTTCGACTGAGGTTCAATCCCAGTTGACTTGCCTGATTGGCAGAGGCTTTTTTTCCTTTTAAAAAATTTTTTCTATAACCTCTTCAGCCGAAGAGGTTGTAAAAAAATGCTTTTAAAGCCTCTGATGATCCCAACTGAGCCGCGCAATCATCAGAGGCTTTCTTTCTTTTTTAAAGCCTCTGACAATCCCAGCTTGACTTGCCTGATTGGCAGAGGCTTTTTTTCCTTTTAAAAACATTTTTTCTATAACCTCTTCGGCCGAAGAGGTTGTAGAAAAAATGCTTTTAAAAGCCTCTGATGATCCCAGCTGAGCCGCGCGATCATCAGAGCCTTTTTTTTTTTACTTTTAAAAGCATTTTTTCGGCCAAAGAGGTTGTAAAAAATGCTTTTAATTTTTTTTAAAAAAAGCCTCTGATGATTGCGCGGCTCAGCTGGGCAATGGGAGAGGGGCAGGGATTTTTGCTACCGGTTCTCCAAACCACCCACCTCCATCGCTACCAGATCGGGCGATCCAGTCCGAACCGGGAGCATTTCACCCCTGGTTAATACCCATGAATTAACAGCCCTGCTTCACCTCATAGATGAAGTTCGTGGGAGGGGTAATGCAGTTTAAACATCCTCAGGGGCATTTTCAGTTTATAATTACTCCACAACCTATATGGTTGAGTCTGGAAATTTTAAGGACATGAAAGGTGGCAAATTCTTATTGAAATCAAATCCTACCTCAGTTATGTCTAAGACACATGAATGAAATAAATTAAGACCTCAGGCCAATACAAGGGTGATAAATCAACCCTGCTAGCCTCCATTTAAGTGGAGGGAATTAAGGATATTTTTGAGTGATGCAAAATTTCCCCAGTGGGATGTACAATAACCATTTTCCTGGTGAAACATTGTGCATACTATTTGTCCATCTAATTTCTATTGTGCATGTACCCAATTAGCTATTCCTCAGGGTAAGGAAGGAATGTAAAGCTACTTGTCTTTGCAAACAAAAACAGAAACCAACCCACAAATAGCAGCAGAAACAGCAAAATGAATGCACACATTGTCCCTAACTCCAGAGAGACATGTTACAGAGCCCCAGTTCGGATCGATGCACTTGTAAGGAACTTTGCAGAATCAGGAGTTCCTGGGGAGAAAACTCTACAGACCAATTTGTTAGCAAAACTGTCAATATAATTCTCTTCCCTCTTTCTCTCTCTTTTTTTTTCTGACAAGAAAACTCCAATGCAGTAGCTCACATATGGGAAATATAACTCGGAAATATAACATAATATAACTATATAAAATTAGTCATGGATTTTACATGCATGACACATAAGAAACCAAAGTGGGAAAGGGGTAAGAGGTAGCTCTTAAGAAGTAGATCTGGTTGTTCCAAAACTTGCTGTTACTTACGGTAAAAATAATTTAATGAGAAAGGGGTACAGTTTTTGGACTGGAGGTAGTATGATGAATAACCATCGGACAGTTCTTTTTTTCAAGATGATCCCTCCTGTCTTGTCCTCTATCATTATTTATGCTTAACCTGACCTCCTCAGAATATATAGACCATTTCTTGAAATATTTTGTGAGACTTCACACTATCTATATACTAATAAAATTATTGTCATGACCTTTAACTGAAGAAAACAGTAAATTATAGGGCAACAATTTTTGAACCAATGTACCTCAACTATGATAATTTACAGAATGGGCCCCAAATCTGTGACCCATGATTTTCACTGTTCTGTAACAGTTTCCCAGCCAGTCTTGCAATCTTTCCCCCACCCAGCAGCAGTCACTTACCTGCCTGCTAGAAAGGGAAGAAAGGAAGGAAGGAAGGAAGGAAGGAAGGAAGGAAGGAAGGAAGGAAGGAAGGAAGGAAGGAAGAAGGAAGGAAGATATGCAATGCTCCCTGCAAGATTCCCACAAAGAAACTTAATGGGGAAGCTAGCAGGAAGTTGGAAGACTTCAGTAACAGAGTGGTCAATGCCTGGAATGTACTACCAGACTCTGTGGTTTCATCCTAAACCCCTCCAAATTTTAACCTAAGACTGTCTACTGTTGACCTCACCCCATTCCTAAGAGGTCTGTAAGGGGCGTGCATAAGAGCACCAGCGTGCCTACCGTGCCTGTCCTAATGTTTCTTCTATTTGTATCTATTTTATGTATCCAATCCATGCTTATACTTATTACCTAATAGGTTCTTGACAAACAAAAAACAAACAAATAAAATAAAATAAAATAAAACAATGATATTTGCTGCCAAAGATCAGAGGACTCCCTTGGTTGCACCACAGGCCCCTGATCAAATTTTCCTTTGTCATTTGCAGCTCAAGATTTGGGAGCTGTATCCTTAATAATTGCAAGTGATCCAAAGCTTCCACAGATTATCCCCAAACAATTTTGGGGAGAGAGGGGTATGGATGGAGGGCACAGGAAAAAGAACCAGGAAAGGAAACTGGGATCTAAATCAGTATACCATGTTTTCTATTATAGGGAGTTTTAAGAGTTGAGCTGGAAATACCCAATTTATTCTAAAGGGAAGCAAATGTGAGGATTTCTTTTCTTCTTCTCCTCTTCATTTTCTGAAGCCGCATCCACCCCCCCCCCACTACCCTTTCCCTTTCTTCTTCTTTTGTTAGCTATAGGGAACATCCTTTTAATCATAAGCTGAAACTTTCATCAGCTCAGTTCAGAAGAAGCTTTTATGTTTTCTGATTTACATAGCTATGCATGTCCCTCGATTGATTTTTCTTTTCTCATGTTCTAGCAGTGATGGTTGGAATGCCACTGTAATAGAGATCTGTCCATGTTTCAGCTCATTTAGGATACACATTC